TCCACAACCTAAAGCGTACGCCTCAAGAGTGGTCGCTCAAGAATTCGAGGAGTGCGAGACTCCAAGAACTCCATTCTTTCGCAATTTAATCAAGAAGATAGTTTGGATTTGACGTACAGCTTAGAGTCATACTAGGGTTTAGACTCGATCATATGAAGGTGAGGAACGAGATCAGATGGTTTGAAAAATTAGGAGGAATGACGACTACTCGATAAACGAGACGTCGGCCTCGTAATCAAATCAATCGGGACACCATTGGAATGCTCGATCCCAACGATACCTTTTTCATTCGAAATATGTTTGATGGATGGTTTAGACGCGGAAGAGTTTGAATTGAAAGAGATTTTGATTCAATCATGCGAGGGTGAGAAACGAGGTTAGACGAGTTGGAAATTAGGAGGAATGACGACTATTCGATAAACGAGACGTCGACCTCGTAACCACTTAGTCGGGATATCGTTGGAATGCTAGATCCTAACGACATCTTTTTCATTCCATTAATCATGAAATATGTTTGTTGGATAGTGAATATTTATCCAAATAATTAGATAAGGTATTTTAAGAACGAAAGTTTGAATGACGCACTATACAAGGCGTACGCCCCAATAGTAATCATTCTCAAATTCGAGGAATGCGCGACTCCAAGAACTTGATTCTTTCGTGATTTGATTTAGAAAATGATTTGAATTATTAGTGAAGGTAGATTAAACTAGGGTAGGGATATCGCTCGAATTAAGGTTCGCCTACTTTGAAAGATTTAGACAAAATTAAGTATTTTTATGGATGAAAGACGAAACGACTGCAACTCAACGCGTGCACCTCGAGAGCGGTCGCTTAAGGACCCAAAGAATGCTAGACTCCAAGTATCCACCACTTTCATTGATTAATTAAGAAAGTAATAGTTGTTTATATTAAGAAATTAATTATTCTCAAAATTTAATAACAATATTAATTAGGTGTTACAAATTAAATTAAGAAACTAGCCTTACAAATGTTCATTCTAAATAAATAAGATAAATAAATGAATGACAATGAATTTATTAATTATTGGACCAGTTACTTAAATAAAATCATGTTCCTTCCAATATTAATTAATTTATTAGTCTCTAACCTAATTATAACGTAATTAAACTAAATAAATTATTAAAAAAACCTTGCATTCAGTTTATTCAAAATCATGAATGATTTCTTTTATGCAGAAGCCATAATAGACGGCCCACACGCATGCCATTTAATCAAATCCATCATATCTTCCCCTCCCTCCGTGTTCTGTCCTCTAAATCCCCTTCTCTTTCCAACTCTTTTAATTTACTCTCTCCTGAACCCTCTACTTTTTACTCTCAAATTCACAAGAATTCATCAATAACCTAAGAAAACCTCTCCAAATCGTCTCTCATAACACGCTCATAGATCACAAATACCCAAATCCTAGAACGAAAATACAACTTCATTATGATGAAAGTTCGGTTCAACCCAGTACTCATAGAGAAGATGAAAACGTGTACAGAAAATAGAGAAAGTACCTGACCCGAGCAAAGTCCGACGATGACTTCTCCGACGATGTTCGACTGATTTTTTTGTAAGCACCTCCTTTATCTTCTATTTCACTTCCCCTTTTGATTTGATTCTTTTTCTGCTCAGTATTCTATCTATGTCTTGATGAGAGGGCGTGAGAGCATGGCTGAGCTCACCTCGCTCAGAGTTCTGATGTGAGCTTTGAGGAGGTTTGAATGATGAGCTTTAGGGAGTGGTTAGAGATTGATTTTGGCTGAGTTTTCTTAGGGTTTTTTCGTATTCTCTGCTGCCGCCTTTCTAGGTTTTTTTTTCTCAAAAAATTCCCTCCCCTCTCGAATGAACAGTCTCTGTTATATAGGGGTGAGCTAGGGTTTTTTATCAGCAAGACGTGTGAATTTTTGGGTGGAAATTAGGTTGCTTTTTGGCTTTGGGATGGAAATCGTACTGTTTTGCTAATTTTGTCAATAGCAGTTCTTTTGAAAAATATCTGTTTTTTTTTACTCTGATTTTTTACCGTGTATTCTTGGGGTTTTTGACTGTGGTTACATGGTAACTTTTGCTTTGACATTGTTTTTGAATCACTTGCTTTTGAAAACTTATGCGAAACTTCTGAATTTGAATATGAATCCTTGGTTTCATGATCTATATTGTTCACTACTGTTTGCTTGACCTTCAAAACCAACCATGCTCTTGCAGTTTTTTCTTAATACTCTCCCATATGCGATGCAGGGCTCGTGAATGATCTTGTCAACGACTATCTTGCTCGGGATCCCTCAAACTCGAACCGCGATGTAGATGCTGCCACAGACTCGTTTTATGAAGAAATAAAGTTGGAGGCCACGGCTTAACCATGAGAGATTTAGAACTGAGGTTAGCCTGATTCCCGCTTTACTCCGTGAAGTCATTGTGTTTTTTCTCTTTTTTTTTTGTGATGATGCTGCCTTTGATGTTAATTTTTCTGATTTCACAAGAGGTAGCTACAATGGATGACTTTGAATTTTGGTTAGGCGTCAACGGTCAATTGGTATAAGCAAACATAACACCTGGTATGGACCCTTCTAACTTTGAAACTCTATTGTTATCAATTCCATGTGTGTTGATTTGCTTTAAGGATTGTGTCCCATTTTGCGATGCTTTTACTCTTACCACTCTTGACCTTAATCCAACATCTGTTAGGTATCACCAAAGTATTTGAATCTAATTTGGAGGTCAAGAGAGTCAATACTCTGATTTTTTTAATCTCTTTTTATAACCGAGTTGCTCAAGGAGGAGCCAAACAAGGATTCAGGACATGGCCTAAAGTGAAAGTCAAGGACCTTCTCAATGTCTGCAGATGTACAGGCTACCTGTAGTAAGTCACGGCGCAACATGTCTATATCATTTTCTGTGCTGGAACCTCTCTGAACTTTCCTTCTTAACAGTGTGTGAATATGTTTCAGGTATAATGCAGGATATTAGGGTGACACGACTTCGAGCCCTCCGCCGGCGCCATTGGAAAGACTCAGTTACAAAAAGAGACAAAAGATGCAGAAGGACAAGACGTAGAGGCCATTACTTGATAGATTCCATAACCAAATTTCATGTGCCGTATGAAATCTCCCACATGAGGGTATATTGCAGAAACACATTTTATAAAGTGGACTTTTTGGCTTGGCACGGAAACTATCTTGGTGAGATCCCTCAGTTACTTCTTAAGTGCACACCCAGACGTTCTTTTCTAAGAATGGCCAACCAATTCAAACTTTTGATCCAACCTCATCTTTGATCGCCTATAGAAATCACTCAAGAATGCAAGTTGGTCAGCATCCGTACTCGGTAAAGCTCTCAGGAATCCCCAGCATTATATCCTTCTATATTATTCCTGCATCACTAATTTCTAACCTCCTTGATTTTTCAGGTGCAGCTTGTGAATTCGGGTTAAGGATCTTGCATTTGGGGGGTTGTGAGTTATCAAAATATGATCATTTTGTTGGTGATTGCGTTAGTCCTTCTTGTGCTGTCTTGGACTAGTTTGTGCATATTCACATTGCAATGGTTGGTGCAGCTATGTGAAGGCTTTGGCATGGTGCAAAAACGACGGAAAACTGGTGAAAGCTTTGTGTCAAGAACTCAAACGGATCTATTTTTTGTGAGCCTTTCCGCAGTTTCTCCACAACAGAAGAAATTGAAGTCATGGCTGTAATTGTCGGGTAAAACATCTTTATGTCTAGAATTCTTTTAACATCTTTGCTTGCTTATAAAGTTCCATCATAAAATTCAAATAACTCACTCATATAAGCTCTTGATTCTCATTTGCAGGTCGCGAGCTGTGGATCATAAAAACCATTTGGAAGCTTTGGTATGAAATTTGAAGAGAACCTTAGCAACAAGGGAGGTGTGAAGTCTTGGCATGAAGGTCGTTTTAAGTAGTGAAGAGCAAACAGGGGGTACTTTGAAGCTTATTGACATGGCATGGTCATGTATTGGTGAAGATGCTGGAAACTTTTGGAGCATGGACAGGACTGTATCCTTTTGTATTGTTTGAAAAAAATCTTCTTCAAAACTTATTTAACAATTGTGTTTTTTTCTTGTAATTTGTCATGATTCCTGCCCATACTGATCATACTACATCTTTTCATCTCATGTATGCGTGATATGCGTGATGGGAGTGTAGGCCTAACAATGGTTTGATACGATGAGGAGAAAGACCAATAACGAACTCGCGCCAGCTTTTCCTTGCATGCTGCTTGTTATTCGAAGGTCTCAAGCTCGAGGAGCTTCAATTTGCACAATGGACATCAATGTGAACTTGATTATGAAAGGCGGCTAGGCTTCTAAGGATACTCTAGCAGGAGTTTGGAGCATGTAGCTGAATAGAAGCATCAATATTTTAGTGAACCATCTGGCATCTGCTGAGAATTCTGGCCTCATGTGATCACAATATTGTGGACTTCTTCAATTCTTATGTTTCAACACATGAGGCAAGCATAATTTTGGGAGAGGTAGTTATCGAATTATTTATGGCACCTCTTATTGTGTTTGTTCTCTCATAATTCAGTCATTTTGAACTGATGCAGGTTTTGGTCATAGGATGGAAGAGTATGAAGTTGGAAGGTGGTACGCCTTGTTGGTAAATTTGTCATACAGTATCCTGATATGTGGATTGCTTCACATCCCTTTTGTGTTTGGCGTAGCTTCTTAATGGACGATATACGCGAGAGTTTGCCTGGCCGTGACAACAGAGGTAAGTAAGCTTGCAATTTTAAATCTCAGTCCAAATGATACGTAGTACATCTGATAGCAGTGTGGTTTGCAATATACTACCATCAATTTACTCACAATAATTATGAGTTTTTTTATTGAACTTTGTACTCATGTCCCTTTCATTTTGGTCGTTTGGCCCGCCTAGGTGGTTTCCCAACCTCTGAAGGAATAGGTGATTCTGGGAGGGCATTGGTTGTGGGCAATTCTCGCGTGCCGTAAGAAGAATCCCCCATAGTAGGCAATTAGTTTACCTGTTGCGGAAGATGATGTATATGCTTAACTCCCCGTGAAATTTGACATCCTGGAGGGCATGATGACATACCGCCATTAGCCAAAGCGTTTTCTCGAAACTGAAGGGTTGCTATTGCATTGTCTCTTTCCATAAGTGCGTTATTTCGTTCCGCAATTGTATTATCCTGCTGTAGGAATGCTATGTCCCGTTCTGCAAGTGCTGCTTTTTTCTCGGAAAGGGCCAGATTTCTTTCTTGAATGGCAGCATCTCGTTCAGCCATGATTGCCATAATCTGCTTCATGGAAGGATGCTGGTGCTGATGTTGTTGCATCAACCACTGTCCCTGAGCAGATTTATATTGATCTGCTTTGTGCCTTCCATTTTCACGATCATCCATCAGAATTAATAAATGGTAGTAAAGCTAAAGATTGACTATAAGCCTCCTAATCCCACATCCAACTTGGCTAATCAAGCAATAATTTGCTAGAAGTCCATGCTTATACATAGAGACTACGAACTCGGTGACTGAATCAGAATCAACTCTTGAACAAGATTATCCAAAGAAGAAGAAGGAAATTGAAAACCCTAATGTTCGCTGCTGAGAATGTTTGTGTCGGAACAAGAGGTATGCCAAACTGCACCTTCTTCACGTGTTGTATTGATACAATTTGGATGAATGCTTATGAAAAAAAAAATCTTCATGCTTTCATTATTTTTTGACCAGAGAAGAATTGTATATGTACTTGCGTTATAGGTATAACACTTGTCGGTGGTGTCGTCCCGGTACCAGAGCGACTCAGTACAACTGTACTTCTAGAGAAGCATATGATGTCATGTTCTTCATCTGATACTTCAAACAAATGTTCCAGTTTATTGCTCTTACGATCAGAAAGTAAGTGGTTAACCACATCAGATGATAAGGGATAAAATTTCATCAGCAGAAAACTCTCATCAACCTTAGAATCCTCAACATAACAACTCAATTCTACTTCAATTCCATTATTATCAAGCTTCTGAATTTGGATGATCTCTTCTGATGTTTTTTTCAACTCTTTGGGATCTCCTTTTGACTGAATTGCAACAACTTGGGAAGCATGGAGAGAGACTACGCCTATGCTGAGATGCCTCTTGTTTGAGCCAAACCATTCTCTGAAGCATTTTCAATTATTTTCATGACAACAGCTACTTCAACCATTGCTGGTAGCTGGAATTCATCTCCAACAAGAATAGCATGGTTTACGTTAGGAAGAAGTAGAGGTATCATTGATTCACCCCCTTTCAACTGCGCAGCTTCATCTATCAAGTGGCTCCATCTTATAATTGTGTAGCAGAAAAGAACGCTTCTTGAGCAGTCATAGGGGTTGTGGAATTCTGATTTTAGTTAAGGCACTTTATTTCTTGTAACATGTACTTGTGCATCATGTAAAGAAATATTTGATCTTTTCAGCACTGGTTCTGGGCCAGTATTTGGGGCATTCCCTTGAACGTCTTTGCTGTATCTTTGGAGTAGTTTATGAATTTGGAACAATGACCTTGTTTTTTCAATGATATTTATGTAATTTAAACCTTATAAGTTTCCTTGAACTTTCATATTGCAGTTTTGCTGTTAATGCCTTTTTTGGAATGTGGGATGAAGTGGGTCGTGTGCTAGTGTTTTGCTTTTGACGTATTGCTTGTGTTAAAGATGTCCCCGTATGAAAATGTGCATGTTTTCCTGATACAATACTTGATTTGTGACCCCTTTTATGACTTGTATATATGGTTAGTATAAGAATTTGAAAATGATGCACCACGTCTTTTATGCTTAAACTGAACTTGCAATTCAACAATTGGTATTAATTTGGGAAATGGATTAGAACACGGCCACTCGAGATCAAATTGGGACCATTTGGGATTAAATCTATGAATCAATCATTAAGACTCACCCTAACTTGTGTTTAGCACATGACTTGGAAAAATGGGTTAAGAAATGATTTGAAAAGCTTTTGTTCAAAGTTTAAAATAAGCTAGCAAAGTGAACCGGGTTTAAAAGTTTAATCAAGGTTTTCCATACTATTAAGTTATATCTTGTACGCGATCATAATTCGTATGAATTTACCATATACTATAACCATACCACGACCCCTTTAAAATGAAATGAACTAAGTCTTAAACAAATTGACTCTAGAAAACTAGCTCATTTGGTCATAACTTGATGTTTGAATGCTTAAATCCGAACTTGATACTAATTGACATAGCTTGAAACTCTCAGCTAGTACGAGTACGACCGGAAGGTGAATTGCCTGTGTCTTAGAAACATGAATGATCATAACCTGATCCCGCTGAAACAAGGCTTGCAATTTGCGAACTAAATCTAAGTTTGTCACAAATTAATTTTCTAATTCCATTAAGACTTAAAATTTGCAAGCTAAATCCAAGTTTGTCACAAACCGATTTAGAATCCAAACATAGATTGACGCTTGCAAATAATTCGAACAAAGCTTGAGGCCGAATCAACCGTGTCTAAAAGCATCATGAAAAGTACCATTGAACAACTTGAATTAAATGCATATCGTAACGGGCAATTTACAGTGAAGCTTAAACGACCTTTAGAGAAATTTGTAATCCAGTTGAAATAGGGTTCAAAATTTTTTGAAAACCAACAATCATGCCTTTTATGCCATTGTCCCTATCATACATATCTGATCGTGATAACGAGGACACATATGAATTTGGATATAAAGGCTGGGGACACGTTCTTCGTCATAAATTGCTGGGGATTACAACCACAATGTGTACACACATGGTCTTTATAAACGAAGTCTCAGATAGTCATAGCCAGAAGTCGTGAAACAGTCAAACATCCATTAAATACCGAAGTAGGACAAATTTGGGGTATGACAATCCTTTCTAAATGTGATGCCAAGAACCACTTTATCCAAATTATCTTATCAGGGACCACCAATGAGGCCCAGTCATGTCATCGTCAAAGCTTTTGATGGATCTAGAAAAGCAGTAATTGGTGAAGTAGATCTACCAATGACCATTAGTTTGCAGACCTTTATGATCACGTTTCAAGTCATGGACCTTCGTGCCGCTTATAGCTGTTTGTTAGGGAGGCCGTGGATACACGAAGCTGGGGCAGTTACCTCCACCTACATCAGAAGTTGAAGTATGCTTTTGAAGGCAAAATGGTTACAGTTTGTGGAGAGAGCTTTAGTGGTGAGTCATTTGTCATCATTTTCGTATGTTGAAGCTGAGGAAGAGGTTGGTACATAATTCCAAGCTTTATCTATTATAGGCGATAGTGCTCAGAAACCCAGGATACCGATGTCATCATTTAAGGATGCGCAGCAGGTTGTGAGCAGTGGTCCTCAGACAGGTTGGGGCAAAATGTTGTTTTTGCCAGAGAACAAGAATAAGGAAGGTCTTGGTTTTTACAGTGGGTCTGCTCAACAGGTCATCAGAAATCAAGAGTTCCCACTGATCAACAAAGTGTTCCGCAGTGGAGGGGTCATTCATCCTCCTCATATCAACGCCGTGTCCGAAGACGAGTCTGAAGGCTACATATCAGATGGTTCAACGAGTCTTTCCATTCCATTTGAAGATTATGAGCCCTATATGGAGGATCCGGGTTATGTCTCAGATGACTTTGATTATAGTTTTGGAGTCTATGCTGTTACTGAAGAAGATTCTGATGAAGATGTTCCAGACTTTGTGATGCCAGGAGTTTTGGTTAAGAACTGAAGTGTGGTTGAAGCCCCTGCTGTGATTCATATATCAAAGTAAAACATTTGTTTTTAAGTTTTCGCTCTGCCCAAGGCGAAAATGTGTTGTGTGGGCTTAATTTTAATAATTCCCTTTGCTCTGTGTCGTACCTCGAAAAATACGATCCTCGCGGTGGACGCGGAAAATAACGTTCGAACAGAGTCGCCACCGAACTTTATTCATTCCAAGGAAGGAATAGGAAAATATCGATAAAACCTTTAGAGAGATAAGAACATGGTCATCGCAACCAATATTCTAGGTTCGGGAGTCGATTACATGAGGGGAAGGTATTAGCACCCCTCATGTCCGTTGTACTCAACGGGAACCTCTTAATTCGATTCGAGAGCAAAGTTAGCTAAGTTATTTGTTTTCTTCTAAGGTTTCTCCTAAAGGGGGAATGGATGGTTTTAAGATAGGGTGCTCGCCAAGGATTGGGGACCTTGTGCCTACGTATCTTCACTTGTAAGAAGTGGAAAATCAGAGCATTCGTAGTTCGTGGGACTACGGGAAAAAGAGGGAATTGTGCTCGCCAAGATCATTGCAATCTTGTGCCTACGTATTTTCATTTATAAATGAGAAATCAGAGCAGCCGTAGTTCGGCTAACTACGATAAAAGGTTTGTGTTTGGAATGAACGAGAGTTTAAGTCGCATTCTAACTGCTAAACATTGGCTTGTTTGCTCGCTAGAGGAGGCTGAAGCACGAGTTCATATGCGCGGAAGAAAGGAATAAACAATGTTCTTGGGTAAAAGGTATGGGAACCTAAAGGTGGGAAAGAAAGAAAAGTGCTCTCTAGGATCATCGTAATCCTATGCCTACGTATTCTCAACGGATGTGAGAAATCAGAGCAGCCGTAGTTCGGCCAACTACGGTAAAAGGTTGGTAAACGAACGAGTGTTTAGGTTGCATTCTAACTACTTAACGTTGGCTTGTCTGCTTACTAGGGGAGGCTGAAGCACGAGTTCATATGCGCGGAAGAAGGGAATACAAAATGTTCTTGGCCAAAGGTGTATGAGTCGAACGAGAGTTTAGGTCGCATTCTAACTGCTAAACATTGGCTTGTCCGCTCGCTAGGGGAGGCTGAAGCACGAGTTTGTTATGCGCGAAAGAAAGGACTAAACAATGCTCTTTAGGAAAAGGTGTTTGGATTGGAAATTGCACGAGGACGAGGAATTTGTGTTTATCGTATTGGATGTTCTGTTTTGAGAAAGAGGATAGATTTTAATAGGTTCAAGGTTTCGATTGCACGGGGGCAAGAAAGAGGAGTTTAGTTAGGCAATTTGATGGAGAATGACGACTATTCGATAAACGAAACGTCAGCCTCGCAACCAATTAGTCGGGATATTATTGGAATGCTAGATCCCATCAACACCTTTTTCATTCGAATAATTATGAAATTGTATTTGAATGGACAATGACGATATTTGTCCAAATAGTTAGGGCATGTATTTTATAGACGAAAGGTCGAGTAATCCACAACCTAAAGCGTACGCCCCAAGAGTGGTTACTCAAGAATTCAAGGAGTGCGAGACTCCAAGAACTCAATTCTTTCGTAATTTAGTTAAGAAAATAGTCTGAATTTAACATACGATTTATAAACATACTAGGGTTTAGACTCGATCGCACGAAGGTGAGAAACGAGGTTAGACAG